CAAGGCTCTTTTGTCAGTGGGAGTGTCCTGGTTTCAGAGGAGCTCACTCTAGTTGGGATAGACAGGCAAACAGATGACAAGTAAATAGTAGTGTCAGCTATTGACAGGTTCTATGAAGAAAATGAAAACAGGGAAATGGAGTGAAGAGGCACTGGGGTTGGCTGGGCTCAGGGTCGTCAGGGATGGGGTCTCGGGGAGAAGGCCTCTGAGCTGAGCTCTAAATGAGAGCTGAGGCGCTTAGGAGCCAGGAGGTGGCCGGCACAGGAGCAAGCCCACGCTGTGAGCCGAGACGTGGACAGAAGCTGACAGAGAAGCTCAGAGAATATTCCCGCTGCATCCATCGCACCCATCCACGGAGCCGTGCATTACTTCATTGGCAGAAAACAAGTTGGAGAGATTTGTCAGGTGTTTAGGCATTGTCAGAACCGGCCCGGCTCCCTGCTTACGGCGCCGTGGCAAGGTCAGGCTAATGGTGATGGATTGGGGTGGAGAGGAGAGGGAGCTGGGCCTCGCCTGGGAGAGAAGCTGTTCTAGTCAGTTCCCTGGGGAGGAGGGAGCGCTGGGCAGGGAGGGGGAGAGGGCACAGCCCCTTGTTATCACCCACCCACGCTGACCGGATGTGGGCGGCTGCTCAGGAGTCCACACTCTCAGACACTCCCCCCCGCCCCCAGCATCACTCGTGGGCTGAATACATAATGTGTCACCCAATGGAGGTGCTCCTTCCCCCTTAATTGTCTACAGACACTGTGTGAAAACAGGTGGGACCGAAAAGTGCCTTTGAATTGATAGTAGCTTTTGGTCAGTCTTGTCCATCCAGGGACTTTACAGTGGTAGATACTCTGGGGCAGAGGGTAGTTTGTGAAACATCTTCCTGTACAAAAAGGGCTCTCGTGTTTCAGAAAAGGCGTGGGAGCTACGCTCAGACGTTGGGGGAAGATGCTGTGTAGACTCCTGTGCAGCCGTGGCTCTGGGGGTGGGGCTGAGGCCACGGAGGGTGCAGGGGGCCCAGTCTCCTCAGAACCTTCCAGCCGCCCTGCTGCTGTGCTTCCGGTCAGTGAGGGCAGGGGCCAGCTGCCACCCTGGAGGGTCACGTGAGCGGCCCCTCCTCTGTGGGCAGGTGGGCAGCCGTGCCAGCGAGAAGCTCCCAGCGGGAGCAGAGACTCCGCGCGGTGCAGCTCTTCTTCCCACACAGATCCTCCCTCCCAGGCCGCCTTCGGGTTCCGGGGTTTGCTTTATTCAGCTGGAGACATGTCTCAGAACCCCTCCACTGCCCCACCCCCTCATTCTATAATAACTCCTCCTGGGGAAGGGGGCAGAAATGGGGTTGGGTGGCAGCGACAGACTTCTTTTGGGTTTGAAGCAGTTTCTGGAGGCTCTGGCATTTGTAGGGTGTGCAGTGTCCTTATGTAAAAAGTAAACATTTTTCCATAAAAAAAAAAGGAGACAAAGAGAAGCAACTGTTTGTCACCTAAGCCAACAGAACAGCTCCATGAATACATTTCCCAGCCTGGCTGAGGTGCCACAAATAACTCAAAAGAGTCGCCGAATATGCATAGATGATCACAAATTTACATCCTGGGTTTGCTGCACATATTTCTGAGTCCTGCTTCCTTCCTTCCTCCAGGCCCAGGGAGGGGCCGGGCTCTGAGATAAGAAAGCCGGGAGAGCACATCTCAGTGGGACTTGCTCCCCTGCCGGTGATTATTTTGCTGACTGGGGCCTCAGTTTTTCCATCTGTAAGGTGGGGGTATGACCTGAGCTCTAGCACTTCAGGGAAGCACAGTTCTTCCCTGGAATGTGAGCCCTGCCCCGGCTGTCGCCTTCAGCATCTCCACCCTCGTCATCTCAGACGTGGGGGCACCCTGCAGTTCCCAAAGGGCTTTCACTTGTTGGCAACAGCACAAGACAGTATGTTCCCCAAACTCCACCGGGCGACTCTCCGAGTTAGCACCTCAGATCCTCATGGCAGCCCCATGAGGAAGGTACTAGTTTTACAATTTCCACTTTAGAGCGCAGGGAGCTGAGACTTGGAGAGGTGATGTGAATTGCCCAGCTACCCACCTAGGGAATGTGCGATCCCCAAACCCACACCTGCTACACCCTGTTCTACTGGCCAGCCCACCCCACAGCCGGCTGAGCATCATCCAGGGTCTGGGACTCAGCAGGAAGGAGACAGACCCTGGCCCCGCCCTGCAGGACCTGAGTCCTGGGCGGGCAGTGATTATGTTATGAGCAGCCGGGAAAGTGCAGCCGTAGCCTGGGTACCACTAGGCGAGAGAGGCGGGTGTTAACAGTCATTTCAATTGGGTGCTGTAGGAGGGTGAGAGTTGGTGAGGCAGCGAAGGAGAGGAAGGAGCTCGCCAGGTGGAGGTGCAGCACCAGCAAAGGCATGAGGTGTGGCAAGGGCCTGTGCACCTGACGATCAGGAGAAGTTCCAACTGGGGGAAGCAGAGCCTGAGAATGTGTATTGGGTGGGGTGGGTGGGAGAGGAGACTGGGAGGGACTCTGGAGCCTTCGCCTGTGTGGCCCACTTGCCCCCTCCCAACGACTCTGCAAGGGGGCGTTTTATCCTCACTTCTCAGATGCAGACGTTGAGGCTTGGCGAGGTAAAGTGAGCTGCAGGGGTCCGCGCTAGGACTGGAAACCCAGGCCCCGGCCCCCAGGCCCGGCTGTTCCCTCTGCCCCAGACATTGCCGATCTTCATGCAGCTGCACAGCCAGGGTTCCCCCAGCTCCCAGACACTGCACGGGGCGGCCTTACGTGGCCTGTGTGCCAGGCCTGTGGGTCTGCGAGCAGAGGTGGCCCCATTAACCAGCCACAGCCCTCTGGCAGCTTTGAAAGGACAAAGGCCAAGGAGGCACAGAGAACTGTGCTTTTCAGAAGAATCACAAGCGAAGCAGATGGTGGGAATACAGTTGGCGGAATATCTTTGCACTTTAATAAAGCAATTTTCATGTGGGCCACTGAATTTTCCTTCCCTAAATGAGCACCAGCCGGCATGAAGGCAACTCTGAGTCACTTGCAAACAACTCGCTGAAAGGAAGGCGGTGTGTGTGTGTGTGTGTGTGTGTGTGTGTGTGTGTGTGTGTGGTACCCTCAATGCCCGAGGTGGGCTGGCCGAGTCGGGGAGCTCCTAATGGAGGCTGGTGGGGGGGGGGGGGAAGTAGATTATTGGTATTTGTTTTCATATTTTGGGTTTTGTTGAGCTGCCTCAGCCCTCTGCTAGCTAGGAAATGAAGACCCAGTGGGGGATACGCAAGAGTGGGTGTGCAGAAGCAAGCGGGGGCACTCAACAAGGGCTGTGAGGGGAAACACTTATTTATTAGCCTGGGGGGCCCTCTGCACCAGGAGGAGCAGGGAGAGGCCAGGGTGGGGTGGGGAGGGGAGGAGGAAAAGGCCAGGGGCCCACTGAGCAGGGGTGGCTGGGGTGGAAGGCTGATGCCTCCAGAAGGGACAGTTCTGCAGGATGAAGCTGAGAGCGTTCTGTGCAAGAGTGGGCCCTCTGGGAACCCCCCTGAACAATGAAAGATCCAGTGAGGTACCTGCATTTTTATGGTGTGATTCCACACAGCTCAGATCCTCTGGATTTGAGTACATGGGAGGGTCTGAGAAGCCGAGTCCTCTAACCACACACAGCTCAGGGCTGACTGAGCAAGGCCTGCAGCTCCTGCCAGTGCAGAGATGAGCTGGAGAATGTGCTGGTTGGGGGGAGAGGGGGTATGAGGAGAAGGAAGCACCCAGGAGGCTGTCTGCTGAGAGGCTCACGTATGCACCCACATACATGTCCACATGCTCATCACCCCTGGCTGCAAAGTCAGGAGGAGGCCGGGGTGATCCATGGAGGGAGGGAGGAAGCAGGGGCAGGTGGGGTGCGCAGGCGTGTTGTGAGTGCCGGAAGGGGAGCTTCCTGTAGGCCTTGCCCCTTAGAGACCTTAGCCTTCAGCACAGCGTGGAGCCCCACATCTACTCGGTACTTTGCACCTTTAAGGCAGGACTTTCTTGCCTTCATGCTCTAGACATGTCCCTTCTTACCCCAAACATCACAAAACAAACTGCTCAGGACTGAGAAACGTCAAACTATCCATTAGTAGGGGACTTGCTAGATAAATTATGAATGCTTCCACACAATGAAATACTGTGCAGCAAAAAATTAAAAACAGAGCTGCCATCCGATCCAGAAATCCCACTTCTGGGTACTTAACCGAAGAAAACAAAAACACCACCTCGGAAAGGTATATATATATGCACCCCTATGTTCATTGCGCATTATTTACAATAGCCAAGAGATGGAAGCAAACTAGATGTCCATCAATCGCTAATAAATAAAGATGATGTGTCACACACACACACACTGTGGAATATTATTCTGCAGTATAAAAGAATGAAGACTTGCCATTTGTGACAACATGGATGGGCCTAGGGTATTACGCTAAGTGAAATAAGTCAGACAGAGAATGACAAATACTGTACCTGGTAGCCCTGCTAGTGGCCCTGGGCTCCTTCGAAGCACCCCCCCCACCCCCCCTTGCACAGCAAAGCCTGGCTTGGGCTTTCCCAGTTCTCCAGACCTGCTCCATCCCACCTGCCCTCAGCCTGGCCCTGGTGCTCTGACAGTCTGACCCTGGCCTCCCTTTCCAGGCTCTGCTCCCACCAGACCATTCCCATTCTGTGGACACACTGAGCACCCTCCTTTCTGGGCCTTTGTTCAAGCCAGCGCTGCCCCTGGAATGCTCTCCTCAGCCCCCATCCACACCCTCTAAACTACCACCATCCTTCTAGACCTAGTGCTAGGCCCAGGTTCTTGGGAAAACTGCCCAGAGCAAAATGAATGTCTCTTTCCCGGGTCCTCTCTCAGCCACTGGGCCAGAATGATGGCTCATCCGAGTCTGCTTTGCACCGAGTCCCTGTGTCCATCTGCTTCTCTCATGGACTGTGAGCTTGGAGGGCAGGGAGCCTTTCTTCTTCGTCTCATCTGTCTCTTTCTCCGTCTCTGTGTCTCTTGGTCTCCCCCAGGCCCTATCTCAGTCTATCTCCACCCTGTTCTCTGTCCTCAACCCTTCCTTCCGCCCAGCCTTCCCCTTGGCTCCCTCTCGTCCTGCCCCATCGCTGGCCCCTCCATCAGTCAGGAGGGCCTGCGCTATGCTGGGGCCATGAAGCGCCTCATGAATGCGGGAGTCTTCGAGCTGAAGGGATGGAGCCTGCTTGCCCCTTGCTGTGTCCCAGGCTGCTGGGCCTGCCGCCTGCTGAGCTGCTATGGGGAGTCTCACTGCCAAGCCCACCGCTGACCCAAAGGGCCCGTCTCAAAGAGCAGCCCTCCTTCAGTGCCTCCCTGGCAGTGGATCCCGGCAATAGAGGAGTGTGCAGGGGGCCCGTGGAGCAGTTTGAGCCAGAGTTCAGACCCGGAACAAACCCCAGGGCTTGCAAGATGCAAGGATGGGCAGTCAGGAGGGGCTCCCACCTGGGTGCGGCGTCCATACTCCCGAGCACGGGAGGCAGACGGTCATGAAGAGGCACCGAGGCTCTTGGGCCCCCATGATCCCCCCAAATGACCTGGCCCGGGCTGCCCAGGTGAAGAGCAGGATTGTTATCTTGGAAGGGCAGATACTGGCCAGGGCAGAGAGCCAGAGACACCCATCACACATGTCTTAAAACAGCAGACAGTCCATGGGGTGTGGGGAAGGAGAACCAGCCCCAGTCCTGGCCTCACCACTGACTTGCTTTGTGCGTCTCAATTCCCCCTTTTGTACAATGGGGTGAGGGCTGATGTCCAGCCAGATACCTGGTGAACATCCCTCCTATGATACCATCGCAGTCACCTTGGCGCCTGGGAGATCTCACTTGGGCCACCTGGTAACTGAAGGGATGTGGATCTCCAAGAAGAAAGAGGCAGAGCAGCAGGACCGTGGCCGGCCCCACACAGACAGCTATGGGGGGTCCAGCAATCAAGCCACAGTGGTCAAGAGCTCAGACCCAAATCCAGCCCTTCCTACTTTCTGAAGATGTAATTTGGGGCAGGTTGCTTAATCTCAGCCTCAGTTTCCTGATCTCTGAAATGGGGTTAATGACTCATCATGTTGTGGTGAGAAATGAATGAGGTATTTTAAGTAAAGCACTTAGCCCAGTGCTCGGCACATACTAAGTGCTCAGCGCATGTCGGTACTGCTGTTTTGTAAGAGAGGACTATGTATTTAAAAGTCATCTTGTACTTTAAGGACTAGCATAGCCAATGGCTGCCTCTGATTACAGGCCAACCCACCCAGGGCGAAATAGCCCAAGAACATGCTCATATAACCGGGTCTTGGGTCCCCTAAATATTTATTCGTCTTTTACAGACAAATTATGTGTTTCCTATAAAAATTGGAAAACACACACACACACACACACACACACACACACACACACACATAAAAATCATATGGAAGAAAATAAAAATCCCATACTCAGGCAGGTCTGGATTTGAATCCTATCTCTGCTGTTTACCTATTACGTGGTCTTGGTTGAGCAGGTTTCTTAAGTGTTTGAGCCTCAGTTTTCCCATTTGTAAAATGGGGATAAATAATACCTATCTCGCAGGCAGTCGTGAGGATGGTGTGAAGAGTTAAGAGTGAAGTGACTCTGTGCCTACAAGGAGTAACAGTTACCATATTGGTCCAGCGACTCGAATCTTTCTTCACACTTTTTGCATTTTCTTGCAGTTTTTTCTATGCGATATGCTGTGTTAATAATATTAACACATACATATATTTATCCATTTGAGGCCATATTGCCTATCTTTTTATGTTAACATTACAGCTCCTCATGAGGTGCTAACACAGGTGAGAGGATGTCTGTTTTTGAGCCTAAGTATATGTGACTCAAATGCTTTCCTAACCATCGTGTTTCAGTAAAGACACTCTTGGATCCCCACCCCCACCCCCAGTGTTTCTCAACATTTTTTCCATGATCTCTCCTCTTCCTCTCCCCTTTTTAGAGTTTTTTTCCTAATTCCCTTCCTCAATTGTGTTTCTTTAAAAATGTTGTATTTTGAAATAATTATAGAGCCACAGGCAGTTGCAAAGACAGTGCAGAGAGATCCTGTGTACCTTCCATCTGGTTTCCCTCAATGGCTACATCTCCCGGAACTACCGCACAAGCTCAGCACCAGGAAGTGGAAGTTGGCACAAGGTGTGTGGGTAGTTCCATGTCATGTTATCACGTGTGCAGATTCGTGCAACCGCAACCACAGGCGAGAGACGGGACCGCCCATCACCACCAAGACCTCCTGGGCTATCCCCGTGCAGTCCCACCCACCCCTCTCCTTTGCACCATTTCTACCCCTCCCCCTCCAGCAACCACTGATCTATGTTCCATCTCTACCATTTTTGTCATTTTTGTGAATGTTATAGAAAATGGGGATCAACAGTATGTGACTTTCCTGAGATTGGCCTCTCTCCCCCTCCCGCCGCCACCATAAC